CTCTCTTATGATGCCCAACTCATCAGTCAGCTTTGTCATCTGTCTCTCCAGCTTCCTCAGTCTCTCATCTTTCTGTTCCTGAGAAGCAGAATTATCACCTCGAGGAGGCTCAGCTCCCTGCATCTGATCACTCTGGATCTCCTGAGGATGATAGCTGGTTTGGTCCTGTGATCTGTGGTTTGTTTGAAGTTTACTGGGTAAATCATTGTGAGGTTTGCTGGAGTCAGTCTGGGAATCTGGGTCATGTGCATCTGGAGGAAATAGATGATCTAAAATAAGAATCAGTCAAATGGTGGAACTCCTCAGAAGTGAAATATACTACATTTTTGACACATTATAAGTTCTGACCAAATGGCAGAATGATATCATCATACACTATATGGTCAAAAGTACTGGGCCACCTACACATTAAGCTTACAGGCGGTGCTCAGCCATGCAAACATCTGCCATGAAGCTCTGGGTCCACAGTGTTTGCGCTCAGAAGAGGTTTGAAACTCTGCAGAGAGTTGGTGACTTTGACACATCATGCTCCTGAGCACTTGCCGACCTCGCTCTTTAACTTTATCTGGTCTGCAACCCTCTGAGTTGCTGTGGTTCTTAGCTGCTTCCACTTTGCAATAATAGGAAGTTAGTCAGTACATAGACCCCATCGCCAGGAACATCAAATCATCTGCTAAAAACCTTGGTAGGCCTCACTGCACCACTACCTGTGTGAGTACTCTGTTTGACATACTCTAGCTTCATATATTCACATATTTCTTAGGGCTACTGGGTAATTGGTGATCGGCGTGATTGTGATTGTGAATGTGAATGGCTGTCTGTTTCTATACATTATGTCTGCAATCGACTGGTGACCATTCCAGGATGTAACCCCACCTTCCTATAAAAACTGTGACGGACGGAGAGATGGAATCTGCTCTTACCTGTAAGATTGCAGCTCCATGGGCGCCTTGGATATGCTTTCAGTGAAATTTCTGCTGCCTTCAAATATCCCTGCATTTGAAAAAATACAGTCAGTACATAAAATATATAATGTATCTGTTACGTAGAATAATGGCATCGATTATGGATATACTGCATATACTTGGATATACTATCTGATGTTTTATTTGTAATTATGCACACGATAAATCTAAGCTGACTATATTTCCTGGTAGTATTTTCAGCAAAAGGCAGTCTTCTGTGATTACAAGGTTTATAGGACAATACCTAGTGTTGTGCAAAATACTAACACAGTACTGTAAATGAAGAAGTTCAGATGATGTCTCTCTGTGTTCTCTGTGTGGAAGCAAATATGCAGTAAGCAAAGGAAACTCACACTAAATTTACTGCTTCTCTTTCCTAATGTGCTGCCAAGAGTGATGAGAACATCTTGAGGCAGTTCTAGGTTGATCCTGTTCTCATTTTCTATCGGAAAAACTGCAGCTTCTTGACAGTCCACAAAAAATGCCAGTCTGTCAGGCTCCAGGCTCACAGCCAGATGACCCCACTTTTCACTTGCAAAAGGGTTTGTGTCCAGAAGGTTAATGCTGGCAAAGTCGTGCGCTCTTCCTTCAACCTGGTAGTCCACACGCAGGGTGTTATTGACAGTGGAGGAGATGATCTGGAGAATAGGCGAAGATGCAGTCGAAAGAGAAAAGATGGTGGCAGTGGATCGAGGCGCCTGGCGCCCCACCACATGAACACCCATGCTACCCTGAAGGTTGGAGTACAGGAAGTGAGAATATTCAGCGGGAAGTGTCAGGTGGGGTGCTCTGTTACGTAGTTTGTAGATCATGCCGCTGCTCGCACTTTTTCGGTGAGGTAGGTTTAGTGCTTCCACAAGATCAATTACTATAAAAGAAATAAGAGACACTGTCACATTCACATCCATATGACATGAGTTCTGGAGTGGAGTACTGTGATTTCTGGGTTATGATGATTGTTAAGCTTTGTGTGAGAGATCTACTGGTCAGTGACCTCAGTGACCTGAAACCAAGATCACCCTTATCTCATCTGTCTGCAATTTCAACTTATGACTCTCTTTAAATCTGATATCTGGTGCTTCAGGACCAGATAGAAATGGAACATGACAATAAAAGCTTGTTTTGTTGTTCGTAGATGTATTTATATTATGTTGAAGTATTGTGAAGTAGATGGACATGCATACAAGGTGAAAAGCAATCACTGCTAGAGGCAAATTGTCCTTTCCAAATGTCAGATTTTGAACTTTTTAAAAACTAAAACTATAGTTTCTTTGAAAATGAACACTCAATATAAACAAACGTGGGACTGGGCAAGAATGAACATTAAAAATCATTATGTCAGCTTTTGTATTGTGATTTTTTAAAAAGACATATCAAGCTTAAGTATTTAAATACCAGGGTTTACTAAAACAAAAAACAACTCCCTACATACCATTTATAGCTCCACTGACTGTGAACAGATTAATTTACACTTAAAGTTATAATTTAAGAAAGTTCGACCAAAACGGTAAAATAAACAATCCATGACCCCCGTGACCCTGTGTGCTAACTTACCATTCTCGTTATCTGCACTAGACTGTCCGTGCAAGAAGAACACGAAGAGCAAATGTATCTCCAGCAGCACAACCGCTCTGAGTTTCCTCTCCATTCTCCTCAGCCAAAAGAAAAAAAGAGCTCAAAATCAAAATACTTTACACAAATATAACAGCATTTATCGTCCTTTTAGCCATGGATCGTTGAGTTTAACGTTCAGTGTGTCACTGCTCCTCGTCAAGCAGACATCTCCAAAAAGCGCTCAGGGGAAACGTGAAACATCTGGATCTAGTGTTGCCAGATATTGCAGATGGTTTTCAGCCCAAAAGTTATTCAAAACTCTTCCAAATATAAAGATTCTATAGCCGAGTTTACGCTCCACTGTGCTGCTTAGCGTCGAAGAGGAATGAACACAGGCACTGCAGACACACATACTCACACATACGGAGACATACAAATGTGTGCGTGCGTGCGTGTGTGTGTG